GGGGGGTCGAGGTAAGAGGAGGCTCTGCATCGAGACGACTATTGTGTGAGGCTGAGAGTGAGGACTGCCTACCTGCGTGCTTAGCATCGCGCTCGGAGGTATGGCGTTGGGATTTGTGTTGACTCGATCAGCTCCCATAGGGCCTCCAATAGTACCACCACTCCCTCGTCTCCTCGGCAGAAGGTCACGGATACCCAAGGCCTGTGAGACAGTCCCATGAGTGGTGGTCACATCAATGAGTTGGCCTACCCTTCCTGGACCATCCTCTAGCATTGGCAGCAGGAGATGGCTCCCACCACCACTACCTCTAGGGTAATTCCTCCTATACATCCTCCCATGGGGGGCATCGCCATCAAAGCCCAATAACGGTATGGCATCCTCGTCGTCACTGCCCTCTTCCTCCTCTCCCTCATCATCCGAGCTCTCGTCCTCATCATCATCCTCCTCATCATCATCCTCTTCTTCCTCGTCCATCATATCATCGTTATGTCCATCGTCGAACTGAGAGAGCCCATCTCCACCAATAATGCTAGCATGCTTTTACTACCTCAATAACGATATGACCATCTCCAGAGCTACTGCTACTACCACTCTCATCACTACTACTGCCACTACTACTGCCACCACTAGGCTGGCCTTCTCCACCTCTATGAGGGGTATCAGAGGCTATCGGAGCTTGATGATCACCATCACCAGTAGCATTAGATGTCTGATGGGACTACGACTTCACAGAGCAGCAAAGGTTGGATACTCACCGCTGTACTGTTGGCCGCATTGGGAGCTCCTCTGTTGGGCGCTGGTGTATTCACAGAAGATGAACCTCCTGCGGCTGCTGCTCCTCCTGCTCCAGTAGTAGTAGTACTACCTTGTGGGGCTGCAGCACTCATAACCACCTATAGGGGAGGGTCGACGTTCACGAGTACACAGTTGGGCCTACATCTCTCAATACGTCCATCACATCTCCATCGACATCCTCCTCATCATCATCGCTCCCTTCCTCTTCCTCAACTCCCATGATGTCCTCATCATCATCACCACTTCCCTCGTCATCACTGTCATCATCATCATCCTCCTCTTCCTCGTCAATATCATCAGGATCTATGTTCTCCATCTGTTCCCTCTCTAACTGCATATCCCTTTCCTCCTCTAACTCATCAGGCTGGGACTCCGCCGGATGGATCTCAGACTCGGGAGGGACCAACGGCTCATCATCATCATCCTCCTCGTCGTCGTCATCATCGTCATCAAGATCATCCAAAAGGTCTTCATTCACAGCTTCCTCCAGACGGTTGTACACTGAAAGGCAGACGACAGCTTGAAGCTCAAAGCATACCTTCCCCCCTCACCATCATCATCGGCCCACTCCTCTGCATTGTCCCCATTCTGGCCGTCCTCACCTCCATCATCGCCCGCGGCGGCGGCGGCGTTCTCCTCTCCTCCAGCCTGCTGACCCTCAGCATCATCCTCGTTGACAACAGGTTCCACTATCATGGTGGGTATGAGCTCATCATCATCATCCTCATCGTCCTCATCATCATCCTCATCCAACAGGAACCCTGCCGGTGGCCCAAAGTGGTAGATAACACTCGGGGACGAATCTGAAGCACGATCAGTCTCAGCCTATCTGATACCATCCCTTGCCTTCATCGTCGTCATCGTCGTCCATCCCAACATCCTCATCCTCCTCCTCAGGGGCCTTCGATGACTCTCCTTCCTCTTTTTCTTTGTCATGATCAGCAGCAGGTAGAGTCGGAGGGCGAGTGAGGATCTCCATACAAGCCAACACTGCTTCAGACAGATCAGCCGAGTAAGGCCTAGAGGTAAGGCATGGATCAACTACAGCTGTAGCACTTATTACCTATGCAACATGATGCTACCAAGGACCTCATTACACTCCCAAGCTAGATGCTGCTTCCTCTCCCTCTCCAACACCTTCTCTAACCCATCCACTTCACTTGCCTTCAGGAGTAAGGCGTAGAGGAGGGAAAAGCGACGATAGGTCTTCAAAACCCAAGCCAGCTCCTCATCCTCATCCTCATCATTCTCTCGACTATACTTGACAAAGGGATCCTTAGTGAGCCTCTCCGACAGAGACTTATACCACTCCACCACCGCATCGTCGCTACCACCACTAGGGGTACAGGAGGCACAGAGCTCCGTCCAACAGCTAGATATCAGATGGAAGGCCGACTTCAACATATTACCGCCACCGGCCTGACCACTCCCAAGGCCGATCTTCAGGGACGACAACTTCTCCCCCACAGTAGTTATAATAAAGTCGTCGACTCTGATAGGCTTATCCAACAGCATACTACAAGTCGTCGGAAGAGGCGTGAGAGTGATGGACCCCATCGGCTTGCCATGCTGGCTAGCAAACTGTAACTTGTTGAGTAAAGTGTCGAGGAAGTACCTAAGAGTAGAAATGAACAGGCAGATCTACTTTTGAGTCTTACATAGCCCCTTCAACAGAGACCGCCAGAGGGTAGCAACTCGGTGTTGTATCAGCCGAATCCTCCCTCATAGCCTGGAGAAGTTGTAGAGACCTCAATAGGAACTCAGCGACAACAACAAGGATCGAATAAGGATAGTCGTTGGTCGATAACCCTGTTAGAAAGTTCCTGCAGGAGAAAGCACACGGTGAGGCGGAGCGTAGTTCGCCAACATAGTACTCATTATCATCCTTAGTATCCAACAACACCATCACAGAGGTCTCTTCCTTCTGCCCATCCTCGTCAGCAGTCGATGACGATGTTGATGTTGCTTTCGTCTTCCTCTTTTTCATCAAGTCCTACCAAAGATGAACTCCGAACCTGAACTCTACCGCGTCGATCACCTTCAAGAGGACCTCCTCAACCGTTTTAGGGTCCTTCAGCACTAGACTCTTCATCATAGGGTTAGCCAGGATGTCAGACAGCTTATACGATAGACTACGTGCTGGGGGCTTTTGCGACGGCTTCTTCCCTCCTTCAGAGGCCTTGTCCGATGCCCCACCAGTAGACCTATGGAGGGGAGGATACAGAAGAATGCTGGTCATAAAAAACTCACTTGTCAACCTCGGCCAAGGTCTTGGCAGGTTCAGAATTTTGTTGATGATGGTGGTGATGACGATGACGACCCTTCTTATCGGGCGCGGTACTCCTCTTTTTCTTCTCACCCTCCTTATTCAGCTGATTCAACGCTAAGTCCACGACTGCCGCTATGAACTGTTTGTTCTCCATCAACTTCGACAACACACTGGCCAACATCGATGTGATTTCTGGATAGGAGGAAGACCGCCGTAGACTGAGTATGGACAGCAACTTCCATGGCGCCGACCCGAACACTGCAGAGGCGTTGACCTAAACCACCAAGCATCTCCCCTGTCTCGTCCACCCCTCCCTCCCTTACCTCTCTATTGACAAGCAGGGACATGACCTCAAGGGCGGCTCTAGTCAGGTCTGGCGATGGTACCATCACTGCAGCTAGCTTCAGAGGGTCAGTTGAGGACCTCTTCTCCTCATGACGAGTGAGGATGCTCACAAGCGCTGCCAAAAGCCTCTTCTGCAAGGCATCCCAGTCTCCAGTATAAATATAGGGTTCATCACAGAGGCCCTCAATAGCCAAGGCAGCTTCAGTGAGCCACAGAGGCATAACCTCTCCCCCTTCTACTCCCTCTTCACTTCTACCAAGCATCTCCGCCTCCTCCAACATCGTCTCCAACCATGAACTCGCATCGGCCATCTTGTCATCAGCTCCTACTCTATCAACCTTCTTCTCACAGTAATGACAATACCCCTGTATGATATCCTCTGCTTTCCCACCCTTCCACAACGTTGCCCTCACCCTTTCCGATGTATTAGTAAGGAACGCCAGTACATGCGATAGACATTGCATCGCATCAGGGCTATTCTCATCCTTCTCCTCAGCCAAGACGTTAATCTCCTTCACGAATTCATCAGTGACCACATCAACCACATGTAGTAGATTACCAACATGGATCTTCAGCCGAGTCGTTTCATCCATCGTCTCAGAGCCCTGGCCTTCTATACCACTCCCCAGCCTAATCCTATTGCAGTTCTGAGCAACTCTGCTTATCACATCAGCACAGTGTGTAGGCTGACCTCCCTTCTTCGATAGGAACACGCAACGAGTGATGAAGTCCCTGCCAACATCTTCAGCGTTTTTGCGGACATCCGCAGGGGTGAGCTTGGACGGTAGGTCGAGACCTTCTTCCTTCTTCAAGGTCGGTACTCTTTCTTGCAGGATCGCCACCAAATTCTCCTTCACAGCGAAGTGGGCTGCTGACGAACTATGAAGATCAATAACAGGATCCCCAACAGGAGAAGAGGAGCCGCCCTCTGAAGGGCCAGCGGGCGGTTGAGAAGGAGCATTGCCCTGACCAGCAGTGGCAACAGCAGGGGGACTGTCCTCACCCGGCGATGAGTTGGGGGCTCGAGGCCCGAGCCGCTGAACATTGGGTACTCTTAGCATCTCGGCAATGGCAGCCTCGGTAGGGTCACCACTACGTTGACCATCATCAGGAGGGGAGGGCGTTGCAGTAGGGCCTCCATCAATCACTCGAGGATCAGGTTCGACAGCATGAGTAAACAACTTCACCATAGACCCGCAAGCTCTCGCTGACATCACATACCGCCTCTCGCCCTTCTCATCCTTCTCACCCTCTCGGCCCAGCCAATCGTCATCCCTCCACAGTGGTAGAAGGGCTGCAGTCAGCCTCACTTGGAGAGAACTCACCAACTTATAACCATCTACTTTAAGGAAGCTCTGGACAGATGCTGGGATGTTCTTATCGATTGTGGGGAAAAGGGAGGGTTGAGTGAGATTGGAGTTCTCCATCCTCTTCACCGAGGTGATCCTTTCACAATACCCAAGTACTGAAGCCGACAGGGCCTCGTCCGTACACGGGTCTGACAAACAGTGCGTAATCCGAAGGTCCCCGGTTCGATCCCCAGCTCCTGTTACCTCGCAATATGTCCACAACCATTCCAGTGAAATCGTCCCCAAAGCCGCCCATCTGAGAGTAAGCAGATCCAACCTTCCTCCTCTCCTACCCCTCTATTACCTTGAACATAGTATCAATAGAAAGTACTCTAGTATGATGACTTCTATCCTCTACATGGCACTTCGCCAACAACTCGAACATCTCGGTGGCGAACCTAGCCCGGACAACTTTAACGAATTCAACGGACATTACGCCCTTACCCCTTCTTGACGCTACTCAACCTCCCAGCCTCATCCACCTTCTCCTGTAGATGACCATAGCGTTTGGTCATATCGATAAAGGCGCCGCTGAGGAGTACCGAAGCTATCCTCGCTGAGTTGGATATCTGTTTTTGACTAAGACTGCTGAAGAACATATCATGGACCCTCTTGATCCTTCCACTAGGGGTATTAGCCAGCTTAGCCACGGCCTCCATAAACTTCTTCATAGTCGACCAAAGTAACCACAGCGGAGCACTACCACTGCTATTCCCAATGGCACTCATTTCAACAGCCTTCCGCCAGTCTATGGTATCCCTCATAAACCGCGACCGCCTCACTTGATTCGGAGGAGAGTTCAACTGCAACGTTAAGTCCATTTTCACTTCAGCAGGCCCATCCTGATCAGCCCCTTCACCCGTTGCCAGCCTTTCCAGCAGTCTGGGTGCACATTTGCATACTGTGTCAATGACTGCCAGTAGACTGTAGCTGAGGTAATCCCTCGTAGAGGCCCCAGCAGGGGACGCGCTACTACCAAACAAGCCACCACCACTCTCCTTCACAGGGGCGTGGACCAGAGCGAAGGTCTCCAGACCGAATGTTAGGGCCGACAGCGTTGCCGTGTTGCCAACAACCGCACCCTCGGGAGAAGAGTCTATGAGTTTCTGCCCATTCTCAACCACCAGTGAGGCCAACGGGAGGAGGCAGTCACCAGAATCAGTCTGAGTAGATGATGAGGAGCTCCCAGCCAGCGAAGGGCCGAGGTTGTTATAGAAGGCATTCTCCAGCGCTCGGAACGTGCTGACGATTGGGTGGTAGTGGGGGTGCTGCTGTTGTTGCTGGTTAGCAGTAGGGCCAGCCATTACCACAGGGGCTAGTATGCTACCTCCCTTAGGCAGGGAGGGATGAGTAGCCAACTTCACCAATAGCTCACACAGATGCTGACCAGGCTTTGATGACTTACCTCCTCCTTCAACATCTTCCATCACCAACAGCTTAGCCAAGGAAGAGTGTGTTTGAAGTAGAGAAGCTAACAGTCTACATGCTGGGGCCAGCTTAGCACTCAAGATACCACTAGTAGAAGTAGGCTCCTCCTTATCAGCCCAGGCAAGGAGGTCCTCCAAACCCCCAATAGCTGCCTCTACGAGGGGCTTGGCCAGCTCCCCACGGTTACGTACAATATCCTCTATAGACTGGCTCAGCATCATAGGCAGATCTGAGGTCACTTTCTCGGCCAGTGGTGACACAGGGCGTACCCCGGCACCATCTCCCATTATGACCAATCTCACCAACCTAGTCAGCGGGTTATCCTCCCCTTGTAGATCACGTAGGAGCTCAGCACCTTTGTTGTGCAACGAGAAGCTCGAGAGAGTCGTCGAAGTCCACCCTAGGGCAAAGCTAGAGTTCCGTACAGCCGGTAAACACTTAGAGACGGCCTTGAGGAGCTCCCCATTAGGCCCCAGTACTGTAGGGATGATGATGGGATCGTTGTCGCATATGTAGTGCAGTAGCTGAGCTAAGTATCCAACATTATGGGCACCGATAGCCTCTCCAGCCTCTCCGAAGACTCTAACCATAACCTTCTGAAAGCCCTCTCTACGGCGACGGACAGAATCCTCGGACAACTCCTTGGCTTCGGTCTGACCAACAATCAACAATGCCAGCCGGAGCAACAGTGATGATCACAGCATTACCTCCTCGACCTCTCTACCACTCAATGCCTCATTCAGGTTCATCCCAACACCAGGGTCAATATTGTGCACCGACGTCTTCAACAGATTCAGTACTGCTTGCAGCTCATTTCCTACACCAACACATCAGTCGGGCGGGTAGAGTAGTAGACCTACGTCTATTAGACAATATAAGCATCTTCTCATAGTCATTCCCTCCAGCCACACCGTCACTACTCCCCCTTGGTGTCGATGTCCAGCAGTCATAACAATCCTTAGACAAAGCTGCTACCACATCTAGTAACCTGAGCAAGGCATTTCTATCGAACTTCAGCAAGGAGTGGTAGTACCTATCGAGACCGTTGAGGTCTCGGAAGAGGATACCAAAACAGCCAGGGGAGTACTCCAAGGCAATCTCGAGGCATTTACAGCAGCTGACCAAAGCTAATACTGTATTATGATGCCAATCTATGGGTATTTCGTGGGTTGATAGACGTATAAGGAAATCCAATATCTGTCCAAAGAAGAGCACTACCGGACCTAATCCGTATCTTAGGAAGTGGTACCATAGATATGTTATTGACGGTGACCATCATGTTAGGATACTGCATAGCTGTTATTAGATTGGTCATAACATCAATACATTCACTGCATACTGTTAGACTCTGGGTGTATCGTGCTTGCCGTTGTGGTGGGACTCCCTCGACAGACTCTTCCTCCTTGAGAGCATTCACCAGCCTATCCCGTGAGCCTTGAATCATACGATTCATATACCCCAGGTTGGAGGAGGATGCCAAGGCTAAGACAACAAGAACACTATCGGTATCGCAACGACAGCTGTATCATCCACTAGGTACTAGTATACTACATCCTCCTGAGGAGACTTGCCCTCATTAAAAGTGGCAAACTGGAAATTACTGTATCGGAACTTGTGTTCGCTTTCCTCAGCTGAGTTCTTCCTAACTAATTATAAAAGCTTGTATACAAATTCGGGTAGAAGGGTACAGAGATCAATGAGAACCTCCCTATCTGTCCTCAGAATTTCCATATTATCAACAACACATGTGCCTCCCCACACTGAGAGATCAAAGGCCTATCCCTTCTTACCAACAACCAACTGCTGTCCTCCAGCTCCTAATAAGCTAGCCTCCATCAATACAGTGCTCATAAGACGATACGACCAAAGTAGAACCGTCTCCACCTCAATTGGAAGTGCCCTAGCTACTGGTACTCTCTTCACCGTCTCAGCATAGGAGACTGCTGAGAAGGGTAGAGCTGCTAGTTGGCCCAGGAATGCTGGATAGGTTTGTAGATACATATGCAGGAACCCACTACCTAAGAATATCCGAAAAGATGGTATATAATATTTGCACGCATGCCCACTACCAATGCCAGACGGACCCCACGCTGGAGGTTGCCGCCCTCCTTTGTCGGATTCGATGCCCATATTCCCACACGGTGGAGGGGTATGATGCGGCCTAATCTGTAATGTTATATCCACAGTACATAGACGTATAGCAGTAAATAGAAGCATCATATCTCTGTCGCCCTCGAGGAGGGCCAAAGCATGACGGAGCCTGTAGCGTAGCATCGTGAGGACAGACTCCTCTGTGACGGTATTTTTCAGTTTTTCCATCAGTTCGTCGGCTGATGTAACCCCCTGTTGGCCTTTAACCAGAGTACAATGTATTGACTTCATCTCATGAGTAACTGGCTGTTGATAATCAAATACGAACTCCACACTCTTCGGCAAGGATATTGCCGTCGAGCGGACGATTTGAGGGTCCAACGACTAACAACAGAAGCACACTATTACTACTCTCCTCCTCACTTCAGTCGGCATATCACCTCACTCGCTGTTGCTGACCTACTATGGTCATCACAACAACAGCAGAGGACATCATAGCTTGGGTTATAGCTTTCCCAGCCTTCCGACAACCAGCTGAGTCGCATCCTCATACCCTTTTGTATGCCCTCATCCATCGATGTTGATTGAGTATTTGCTACGTGTACGACGCCTAATGACCACGTATTCAGCAGTTGACAGTATTAGTCATAATGCTAGTACGTTTGAAAATGTTAGTAGTAGAGTAATTGTAATTCCATAGCACATCCAGAGCTGCTATGATAATCCGTGGATGAGGACTGTCCAGTAACGACATGAGCCGATCGAATGAGTTGTATCTACATCATCTACATTACTCTACTCCTTCTACATAGGAGTCGACTCACAGTAGAGTAGCCTGCGAGTTGCTGACTAGGACTATCTTGGACCATCTCAACAGCTCAATGATAACTTCATCGACAATCCCAAGCTGAGTGCCCTGATACAACACCTCCTCCTACTCTTGCCTCTATAAGATGTTGATACTACCGCTGCCAGCAGGACGACCTCGCCACTGTGTGTGTATTGTATGTATCGCTCCAAGACTTCATCAATAGCATCGAAGACTCCAGCCCAACACAGACCATCGAAGTTGGTCTCAGCATAGCGATCGTCCTCTCCCGATCCTCTACTGCTGCTACCGCGATATCCATCACTTTCATCATCCAACCAATGCCACTCCCTAAATCTAGGCTGCCACATGATATCGAAAAGCTGCCGACAAGACTCCTCCGACTCCACATCTAGCCCTCGAACTGCCCTCTCGAGCTCCTGACAGGTAATCACTACCTATTATTACAACAACTACAGTGTAGTTACATCAGCAGCAACAGCCTCTGCGGGTGGTAGGTAACGTCGTCGTAGTAGTGAGTCCTGTGCTGGATCCAAAGCAGGTCGGTTATCTCCTCCTGGGGTCTCTTGTGATGATGTTGATGACCCTCCTCGATGAATGTCGAGTTGACCAAGCTGATCTAGGTAAATCCTTCGGTCGATAGGAGCCATCTAGTATAAGCTGGCTATGCTGTAGTAAAAGGTTATTACACGTCAGTCGCCAACGACGACCACAACAACAACAACTGAACAACACCAACAATCATGAGCATCCGTCAAACAGACGTACCACTCCCCTCTCAACACACACTTGTTTTCACTATTATGCACCCTACTGCCTCTATTAATACTGTATCAACCAAACTCCAATGAAACATGATGCCTCCTATCGGACCCAAGGATGATTGTCGACTAACGATAGTTAACAACAGCCACGACTTAGTCGAAGAGATCGAAGTCCATCTCCTCTTCCTCCTCCTCTTCCTCAACAGGCTTGGCCTCCTCCTCAGCGGCAGCGGCCTCATCACCGGCGACGGCACCTAAACAACGGCATCAACCAACATCAATCGAAAGTGGTATTACCGGCAGCAGCGGCAGGGCGGGCACCAGAGGAAGCAACGGAACCGAGCTTAGATAGACCAGTAACGATCATCTCTTGGACGTTCTTGCCCTGGACTTGGGCGAAAAACTTGGCGAGCATCTGATTAATAGGAATCTTAGGTTGAACATTCCTAGATGCATAACAGGTCGAATAGCAAACGCCGCGAGTGGTCCATACCCAATTATTACCTCATCGTCGACCTCAGCATCGACAGCAGAGAGGATGTGCTTGACCTCCTCTACAGTGGGCTCATCGTTGCCGGCCAAAACGGCCATAAGGTAGGCTGCTACGTACTTCATCTTAGCTCCAAGGGGGCGAGGGAGAAAATTCGATACACCAACCCTACTCCACCCTGCAATCGATCAAGCTAAAGAAATGCAAGTGTGCAAGATGTCGAGATTTCTCTTTCTTTGGGTTGAGTCTATACCCCTGGAACAAGGATGTTGTTAGGAGTTGTTGACTGTACGCCTTCGAAGATATGATGCCTTCTTTTGTGCACCTGACTGAATAACCTGTTACCGCATATGCGCATTTTGTTACTTGTTATGGCATACCGTTCGAAATGCGCGTCTACTTATCCCCGAGATGGCAAATAGGTTCGCAAATATCGTAAACTACGAATGTCTCGGAGAGGGCTCCAGGGGCTGGGCTACACCGCCTTCCCCCATCAGCATCTGAAGGTACAAAAATAAACATGAATATTGGAATGGCAGCCAAAAGACTGCGCTCGAAGAGGCAACTGACTCGGAAGCGACGTGCCTATTCGACGACTACTACGTGGAGGATTTGCTGCAAATCCCTCGGGTGGAACTCGTTGTATTGATGTAAAACAACTCGATGGTACTGATATCCGCATCTAGCACATTACATGCCATTCCAATGGATCCTACCTAGAACTGGAGATCCCTGAGTCCATCGCCCCATAGATGAGCCCGCCCTACTAATATATAACTGCGGGATGGACGCATTGAGTCAGGTTAGAGTGAATCATGAAGTTCATTATATGAATATGTAGTGTGCAACAATTATCTGAGAACATGGCATTTTTCAGTATGTGGTATTGCGTTTGTAGTTACTGTGATGTAGAAATCGAACATAACCGCATCGCCATCAATCGAATAATGAACCGATTGAGTAATTGTGATCTACAATCTGTCGGCTTCGAGAATACTTTATTACGGTCCATCGTGTTGTGTGGAGATCGACTACGCCCGTCCTAGCAGCAATAAGTCTCTGAAGTTCGGGCCTGAACTAGTGTGACAGGGTTGTCCCCCCCCCCAATTGTTCTACAGTGGCATCTCATGTCGGTCAGTCGAATAGAAAGCCCTGACTGCTCATTATTCGGGTATGACCATAGAGACTATGTAACACAAAAGAAGCTCGCGAATCTAAGAAAGAGCCACCTCGATGAGAGTGGGAAAAATACCATGGCCGACGATTGGCCACATTGATAATAAGCTATAGTATACTCGTTACATCACTAATATGGAGGGCTCACCCTGGACAGAGACAAGGTGGTGGGTAGCATTTACAGACATCAGGACACTTCTTGCAAACACTAGAGCCAGTGAGTTGGCGCAGGGCAGCATGACTAGCTTTTATGTCTCCTCTCGGCATTCTAGTAGTGAGTGCCATAACCATAACGAAGATCATCAGAATAAGCCAACGCATAGAGAAACGCGATATTAACCGTCGAACTGAAATGCGATGAATAGCTTCACACATCGCGTTATTGGTAGTGACACGATATGAGTGTCGGTCAACTCGGCCACCTCTTAATGGCGTCACACGGCGCGCCGCAATGATGGTATGACGCAGCCCCCACCATGCGGCGTGCCGCATGTGACGCTTAGAAAGTTTGCGACTGGCAGGCGATGAAATCTCCACTAGGCAACACGAATCTTGTTGCACGATAAGCAAGAGAAAAGTATCAACGTGAGCTCATGGGGTACGACTGTGGTGCTGAACTGTTACTGCTTGTAATGCTACGCTTATTAAGCTCATCAACGAAACCACTAGAGGCGAGCATCAGATCTCGCAGGGTTGAAGTCCCGGGCCTAGCTGGGATGGCGGGCCGCGGCTGGACAGACCATTGTGAATCAACAGGAAATTTGTGCAGAGACTAAGCCTACCGGTAGGTCATTGCTGTCACTGTTGATGTTCGAGGCGGTTTCACTCCTATGAGAAGACGCCTGAGAGCTCGTACGAAGCTTATCACTCTTCTTGGAGGCGTAGACAACGTTGTGCTGCCGAGCCGGATGGGCGACTACGACGCCCCCGTCCTAATCACGATGAGCAGTTAGTAGCGCCTTTTCGAACACCGCTCGAGCTACACACTCCAATCACTGTTGGAGGGTCTGCAGCATCGAAACCTCCCGGCATGAGCTCCGTCTTGGGCCCCAGTCTGTCACCAACAGCAGCCGGGAAAATGTCCATAGTACCGCTTACCGTGAGAGGCGCAGTAACCTGTCCAATAATTGTCGAGTGAACCACCGCTGTGGCTACCATCGGGGGCAGACGTGCTTCCAGCCACTTCCTGGCGAGCTCAGTCTCATTAGCAGTTTTCTCGCGGAGTACGGGAACCAAAAACTCCCGACCTCGATCGTAATTGGTACGAGCAACAAGATAGTCTCCCATGGGGAGGCAGAGGCGTTGATGGAGATGGAAGGCCGCACTCCACTCGAAATGAATCAGATCGGTCAGAACCTGTTGGGGTTCATCGCCATTGATGTAAATCCATCTTGGTCACCTCTCGTTTTATCGAGTCGAGGGCTTCCGAACGCTGGTGTTTCAGCTGTGATGAATGTTTAAGGAGATCCTCAAGATGCTTATTGAGGGCATCTCGCACTGTGACGAAATTCGACCTCACTGACAGCATTCTCTTATGGAGGAGTTCTATAGTGCGGACGAGTTGCTTTTGCTCAGTATCAGACGGTAGCAGGGGAGGTGAGGCTCTGACAGATAAAAGCTATTCAGTTGGGCCGAGGACAGCCACGGGAGGTGGACCGCTACCCACCTGAAGACGTCAATGGTAGAAATGAGTTGGTGATGAGGTGAATGGTCAGTAAGGAGAATGCAATGTTGGCACATCAGCTTAGCGCAGTCGAGGCAAACACTTTCGATGAGCTGTGGTGGATGCTCCGGACATTCCCCAAATTGGAATGGCGATTGGCAGAGGGGCACTCGAGTATGCCTCAATAAGAGAGCTGATACCGAGTGATGGGAAGCATCGCAAGCCTCGCAGAAGTGAGCCCGATCCGCTGGGCAATACACTTCTGCCAGAGTCGTTCCACATACGTCACATATCTAAACGACAACAGCTGTTCCTTCCGTTTTGATTGATGCTCAGCTGTTAGCGTTGAAAGGTCACCATTTCAGGCGGCTCGTTATTGGGTATGGGATTTTCCATAATCCTCATCAAGCGTTGCCAATAAGAGGCCCATTCAGGTTTGGCTGCCAGAGACGGCGGTATGGGGGGAAGGGGCCGTCTCGAAGGCTTGTCATTGTTCATGTTATAGTCAATGGGACTTGCTTTGATTACGGTATTGACAAGTCAATACCATTCAAAACTGTTCAAAACAGTCGTATAATAGATGCATCAATACGCACTGCAACGAGTGTTGTTGACAATGCATCAAGGATAAGCTTCCTGATTGTTGGCAATCCGTGTGAACCCATCTTATGGTCGGCAGATTGTTGTGTTGATGGTAGTAGGTACTGGCTCGAAGTCTTCGGCGGCTCTACATTGAATTGTCGGCCCTTGGTGCTCTCAGCAATACCACGCCTCCTCAACATCCTGATGACACCCATCCCCACGATGCAATAACCCATCCCGCTGCCAATACCCACCCCCCTAGAAGAGCTCAACGGGACCGTCACCTTCTTCGCAGATTCAAAATGAGGAGGAGAAAAAGCACAGAGAACAGCCCGTTGTCAGTCTACTTCAAAGTCGCTCCGCCTCAAGGTTGGACTCTCTTCAGGTTCGGTGATCGAAATGCTGCCATCAGGGCCTGCATGCGGATCCTGATCCACGCGTGATCCTGAGAAACAAATCACGAAGTGAGATCAATATGATGATGATTCAATGGCAAGAACCGGATATTTTTACTCAGATCAACAGAATTAGGATCATGGGGCAGGATCATAGATCATTTTCGTGATCCGAGAATCACAGCATCCATTCTACTGTCAGAGGTCTCGGATGAGCAGCAGGGAAGTTGATACATCATGAGTGATCCGATCACTTATCAGCTAGTAAGGCACACGATCGATGATCGCCGCGATCCTTGATCGCGCCCACACTCAGTCGTCTTTGCAACGGCCTCCCTTTCTTCCCCGACCTACCCCTACCAAGCCGCCCGATGAATCTTCAATTCCGCACTACGAAAGATACCCACCCAAGAATCT